AGGGAATGGCTGGGGCAGACGAATGGCAGCTGGAGGAATGCTGACTACTTTCCATTGAAAACTTAATGTACACTAAGCGTGCCACAACATTCTGGGATTGTTTGTCCTGCAAGAGCAGTGAACTTCCCAGGAAAATGCAGCTATCCGGTCAGCAAAGCCTGATATGAACTGTTTATTGTTGCTAAACATTAAGCCATGGCAAATAGAGCTGGGTGATACTCCCTGGGGCCAGCAGTGGGGATGGGGCTGCTAGCCCTGAGCAGCAGGAGGAAGAAACCTCCTCAGAATGTTGTTCTCACCATGGCCGTGGTGGTCCCTGCTTGTAGTAACTGAAGAGCCACATCTCAATCTGCTCAAATAGCTTCGTGTCACAGCTCTTCCTTGCCATGATTGAAGACAACCTGACGAACACATCAACAAAGCCTGACCTACTTTAGCAGAATAAAAACTAACCAAGAAAGGGAGAGGGGGGTTCGATGGAGTCCATAATGCCCTGTTAGCCAGTCCCTGCCATGTGGATCTGGGTATCTGTCCTCTACACAGAGCAAGAAGTGCAACTGAACCATGCCCAGCAGTGCTCTGGGATCTGCATGTGCATATACAGAGGGAAGTGCACAGGGGTGCACACAGAGATGTGCACAGAGATGCACACAGGGATGCATGCATTTGTGTTGTCCCACTCCAAACTTCCCAAACTTCCCAAAGCACAGGATGTGAAGCTGGAGGCTCAGGCCAGCAGTCTTAGCCCTGGTTGGCTGCTGGACTCAGCTGCAGGCACGTGCAGCATCGCTTTGAGGCTCTGATCACACATCAAGAGCTTTGAATGCCGCTGCCTCACATGTTCCATAGCACGTGTTTGGTGGCTCACTCATTATTTGCAAATAGCGGCAAGGACACTGCAGAGTCAAACACACTGCCAGCAGGGACCCAGAGCTGATTTTGCCCAGTGGTAGCCGAGCACTCCTGCAGGAGTGCAGAGCAGAACTCCTTGGGAATGGGTTTAATTCCCCAGACCCACACTGCAAGCTCTCTGGGTGAATTTCACCCCTTTGCGCTGGGTGGGAGCAATGAGCCTCAGAGCCTCCTGTGCCAGGAGAAGGGCCAGGCTGGGTGCCGTGGCCAGTCTGGATGCATGTTCCCTGGATCTGTGTTTCTGCTCAGCTGACTTTGTGCAAGCAGTTCTCTGTGTTCCCTTTGCCCACACACTGGCCTGGAAACTTCCCCCGAGGTGGACCGTGGCCCAGGCAGGCCCCCATGTTTGCTCAGCAGGGGGGGGCATCAGCGAACATCATGAGATCGCTGGACACTCACTGTGCCCTTGAATCATCCCTCTTCTCCCCCCACGATGCTCACTGTAACGAAGCAGTGGCCTTCATGGCCAGGCCAATGCCCTACAGCTTTGACATCCAGCCCAGAGCCACTGTGGGCTCAGTCAACAATTCCGTGCCACCTCTCGTCCCTGCAGGCTGAGCTTCCTGGGAGAGGTGGCCGCTCTCCTCAAGGACAGCAGCTCCTGATGTCACTCGATGGCCCTTCTCCCCTGGGCAGCTCTGGGATGGGGCACACAGTTTACCCTGCAGCTGGTCACCCTGACAAAGCAAGGTGAGCTCTGGGAAGCACCGGAGTTCTTCGGATGTGTTTGGGTGATGCTCAGCTTACAGATCCCCCATTCCTATTTGCACATCACAGAGAACCAGGGACACCAAGAGCCCTGAAACAGGTCCTCAGTGACACCAGAATTCAAGACAGGTCAGATCCCAAGGCCAAACTTCCATCTGGTCACATGTAGGGGGATGCTGGCTAGGAATCTCAGCAGCTGCAGGCACACAGCCACCACCTGGGACAGTGGGCCAATGTTCTGGTGCTGCTGAGCACAGCCCCAGGCTGACTGCCCAGAGGCCAGCAGGAGCTGTTATTTCTTGTTCCTATCGCCCACACCAGGCAGCCACAGTCCCAACAACACCTTTTTCATTCAGCAATACAGACTTATCCCACCACAGCAGCTCAGCAAGCCTAAGATGGAAAATTCAGGCTGACAATGAGGTACTGAGGCAGGAAAAAGAGATAAAGTTCAACCTGATGATAGCCATGCAATAAAAAATGATAACAGAGCTGGTGGCAATGGCACAAGCAACTCCAGATAGCCTGACAGAGAGGAGCAGAGCCTGGTGACATGCCAGACCATCCATACAGAAATGTCAGATCATTGTAAGGAAACATTGGTGAGATGCGTGGTGCTCAATTAGATAACTGCTGGTAGCCCCCCCAAAAATTATCTTTGGAAGCAGATGTGAGATGCAATTTGTATAGAAAGACAAGGAAAAAAAAAAGAAGATTGGTACTGTGAAGAAACAGGCAATAAGAGGTATTGGATACGCCTTATTTGATCAGCTGTTTTTTTTAGAATGACGGGTACACCAAATGTTAGGGCAAACAGAAGTTATGTGATAGCTTTAAGACAAGGAAGGTCAGATGGTCTGGAGACGTCTGAATGTTTCAGAAACGGGATGACCAGCAAGGGAACTCTACAAAAAGCCACAATTATATATCAGTACATCAGTGAAAAACAGGACAATTGTTTGCACTTTGGGTTTATTACCAAATCTAGGAGAAAAATGATTCTGTTCATTCAATGCTAAGCACCTTTGTTTATACTTTAGCTGCATCACTACGAGTTTTTAAAGGTTGCTCACTCAAGCCTATCCTCTGAGGGTCTGTAAATGGGTGAAAACAGACTGAACAGTAGGAAGATCTGCAGCTCCATGAGAGAACAGAAGGAGATCCAGACACAGCCCTTCCAGCTGAGATGGAGATCGTGTGGAGTGCAAAGATCGTGTTGAGTATGCTGTCTACCCATTAGGAACTGTACCACAAAGAAGCAAGCCAGGTCACCATCTCACAGGGATAAAGGCCTCACAGCTTGGAGCTCTGTGAGGGCAGCTGAAGATTAGGGCAGTGCTCCTTGTCTCAGACCAGCAGCCATGTGCTTGCCCAAAAGATCTCTTCCCTCCCAGACCTGTCAGCTGGGTCTTTACCTTCCCTGAAGTCTTCACTGAGGCTACAGACACACCATGGTACAGGCAACAGGCAGACACTCAGACAGTAACCATGCAGTCTCATCCCATTAATTCATCAGTGTCTTCAGTGATGGAGGAGCCAGTGGCACCACTTCCTCACTGCAAAACATTGTCACTCTCCAGTGAATTTGCCATGAGACCTGACCAGCCCCAAAGGATGGGGATGGGTCACCTGAAGGAGCTGTTCTATTCACATGAGAAAGGGAAGGTGTGAGGCAGAGGCAGGGCTGAAGCCACTGAGATAAAGCTGTACATTCCAATTGCTGTGGGAACAAGTGAACCAAAATGGGAACTGAACGGTACAAAGAAATTCTGATTGACAGTGCTGTAGTTCTGGCTGAATGGCATCTGCATGTTGTCACCTACTCTAATGACTGCCTGACTCACCCATCAGAGGCAGGCATCCAGCAGCCTAGCAATTAGCCACACTCCTTGATAAAGTCAAGGGGAGAGTTAAAACCAGCATAGCACAGAATAAAATGACCCCCAAGGAGCCTGAATCAAGTCTCGCTTTTGAAACAGCCCATAAAACAACGTGCAGAAATGAACCTCTCTGCTGAGCCCCACACAGAGGCATTAGCATCCTGTACCTCCTGCTTGGCTCAGTCAAGGGCCATAAATCCCACCAGCCTTCCCACAGGGATCTGCTCAGCAGGTCCTGGGCTCCCCTGGGTTCCCCTGCGCATTCCAGAACTGGTGACCAAGCCGGGAACTATTCCTGACAGCAGAACAATGTGAACAGTTGCATCTGCTATATTTAGAGTGAGCAGTCAATAATACATACGCACAACCGGTTACCAGCATTCTCATTTGGTACACAAATAGTTTGCTTTTCGAAAGAAATCGTTTTAAAAAAGAAAATTACCTTTCTCGTCATCCCTGGGCTATAACTAACTGACGAACCTGGGAGCTTATTTCAAATGAAAAATGAAATTATCTATGCTCTGTAATCCAGTTCCAGGAAGGATAACTCATGATTGTGGCTGGCATTATTAGTGCTACAATCGTGTGTATTGACAGAGCGGTTTAAACGCAGCAACAGCAGTTTGCTGAAGCACACTTGGAAGCCTGCTGGTGCACAGGGGCAGCGCTGCTCATCTCCCAGCTTCCAGGCAGGGTTTCTCCATTCCCTCTTTCACTCATAAGCCAGGCACTCAAGAACCCCATCTCTCTCCCTCTTTGCAGCTTCATGGAGGTCTCAGCCTTGGCACTGGATTTATGCCTCTGTTCGTCCAGATTTCTCCAGTTCCAAGCCCAGCAAGCCTTCTCTTCTCCAGGTTGAACTCCCTCAGCCTGCCTTCATAGGAGAGGTGCTCCAGCCCCCAGAGCATCTTCGTGGCCCTCCTCTCCTATTCCTCGCACGAGGATTGCCAGGAAAAGTCGGGATGCACGCGGGTCAGGGATGCCGTGGGTCACAGTGTGGGCAGGGAGCCGTCCTTGTTCCTATCGCCGTAACGGCACAGCGCAGGGTGCTCAGCAGGGTGTGCAGAGCACTGCCCTGGCAGCACGGACCAGGGCCCAGCCGATGAAGGCCTCAGCAGCAGCGCAGTCCCATCTCCCAGCCCCAGGCCCAAAGCGTGACCCCGAGCTCAGCCCCCACGCCTGCCTCAGGGCTCAGGCCCGGCTCAGGCCCCGGGCAAGCCTCCACACCCTGCTTTGGCCCAGGCCTGATGCCTCAGTCCCAGCCCCAGGCCACGTCCTGGAGCAGCCTCACGGCCCAGGCGCAGGCCCAGGCCTAAACTCAGGCCCAGGCTCAGACTCAGGCTCAGGCCCAGTCCCGGGCCAGCCTCAGGCCCAAGCTCACGCCCAGGCGCAGGCCGCAGCGGAGGCCCAGCCCAGGCCGCTGCCGAGGCGGTGCAGAGCGGCGGAGCTCCGCCCCGCTCCGTCACTGCTCAGCGCCGCGGCGGCGTTCCGTGGGCCGCCATGGCCTCGGTGGTGCCCGCGGTCCGTGCCGCCGAGGAGCCGCCGCCGCCCGAGCCGCCCGCCGAGCAGAAGCCGCCGCCCGCACCGCCGGCTCCCGCGCAGGAGGAGTTCTCCTTCCTGCCGCTCGTCCACGACATCATCAAATGGTAACGGCGGCCGCGGGCTCGCCGCTCAGCGCCGGGCCGGCCTTGCCCCAGCCGCCCCGCAGCGATGCTCCCTTCTGCCTTTTTTCTCCCCGCTGGGGTCCCTGGGAGGGGTGGAGCGGCTCTGCTCTGAGTCGTGCCCGTCCCCGGGCAGAATTGGGGTCACCGAGGTGGGGCAGAGCCCTGGCAGACCCGCCGAGCTGTGCTGTGCAGAGTTATTGCCCCGAATTGCTGCTCCGTTTGGCTGATAAGTAAAGGACGGGCTGCCCCAGGGCAGCGCTGCTGGCTGGCGCTGGGAGAAAGAGGAAAGCTTCTGCAGGTTGAGTTAGGCTCTCTCCAGTTCAAAATCAATGCTGTAGGGTTAAAGGTGTTTGTCCTGAGCTCCTGACAACCAGAGTGTTTCTGGCCCAGGGTAACCCTGTTGGAAATGTTTGAGTTCCCGGTAGGGGCACAGCCCTGCTGTGAGCAGCCCCATGACCTGGGCACGCAGCACAGTGAGGCAGAGGGCACAGGAAGTGCAAATTCCCATTCCTTGTTTTGGGCCTGACTGCCCTTTCCCTGCACACTTCTATGGGAGCTGAGGCTGGTTTGTTTCCTGCTGGGGTTCTGTTTGTGTCAAGCGTGAGTGCTGAGAGAGTTTTGCCCTTAATAACTGCGGCTGGAGGGTCATCACAAGGAAAGACCAAATACCCCACAGACACAACATCCTAGATTCAGGAGAGCTGTGAGAACTCAAACCCACCCTCCATTTCCCCACTGCACTGCCACTGTCCTTGTGCTCAACCCTGCCAGATCCATCCGGGCCACCGAGGTGAGGCTGAGCCCGCTGCTGTCTGCATCTGAGTACAGAGGCAAAGTGAGCCGGAGCCATGGGCTGGGACCTCCCAGACTCCTGTGTGTCACTGAGCAAGTCGTGATGACCTACAATGACAGTCCCCAGGATATCCTGTGCCCTGTCCCACTGAGCCACCCACTCCCACTACCCCGCTCCCCCTGCCATGCTGGCACACAGCATTTCCTGGATGGTGTGAGCAGACGTAGGTGCACTGAGCAGCACTGCAGAGGGGTCAGACGGAGTGGTGGGACGTGTTGCCTCACGTCCCTGACAGATGGCAAACATATTATCCTTTAACGCCACCGCCAGGCTCTGAGCCCGGCCCTGCTGTTCTGACACTGACTCAGCCCTGAAGACACTTCACATCTCCAAGGTGACTGTGCTCAGGAGCAATGATGTATCGCGTACATTTGCTTACATTCAAGGACACGTGTTCTTTCCTGTTGTTTGAGTCCCGAGAAAGTTCTCCCAAGCAGGGCTTGCTGTTACTTTCACCCCTGTATAATCAAATGGCATTACCTGTGAGGTGCGTGGTTCTTGTGATGGTGGGTTGTGCTGCTGTAGCCAGGAGCTGCAGGCAAGACACGATGGAGGGACACCAGCGAAGGAGAGCTGGTGGGCAGCTCAGGAAGGGTTTGGAGAACTCAGTCCTTTAAGGGAGATCCCAAGCACTGTCCATCAACACAGGCTGTGGCTGGACATTGTGTTTAAATCTGTGTAATTGCAGGTGGCTGAGGTCTTCCCACTCCTCCTCTCACCTCTGCCTGTCTGTGCCCTCAACAGGAGTTGCTTCAACTGCTTGAAAACCTCCTATCAGAAAAAAGAAAAACAACAAGCCTGAAAATAATTATTCCTTCAAATCAACCAACCAAACAGGCAACCATCCATTCCCTGGGTGTGGAGAAGAGAACAAGCTGTGGAGGGACCTGGTCGCCCCTTCAGAGCCAGCATGTAGCTAGTGTGGATTAAAGGCAGTGCCAGCCCATCCTTCCCAGATGTGCAACGTGTGTGTGCCTGTATTTTTCCACTGTCAACTTGACCGTAAATGCCTGCATAATGGGGATACATTGTAGTACCAGCTGCAGTTTTATTTAGAGAGGAGTAATGAATATTTTGTTCCAACAGGCTGTTGAAATGAACGGGACCATCTGGTTAAAAGTTCTGCTCTCAGTCGTGTCACGACTCCCCAAAGTTGTAATCAGGCACCTCTCTGCCCTGGTCATGCCAAGCAGTTTTATTTTTGGGTCTGGCTGTTGAACAGGCTCCCAGCTTTCAGAGGCTGTCAGCGTCTCTCTCTCGTTATGAGCGCTGCCTTGGAAGCAGTCTCGCCTTTGCCTGGAATCGTAACACTTCTCGCCTTTGCTAACAAAGCTGAAGCAGATACTAATGAGGGTTTGAGGGCAGACGCTGCCTCAGACGACACTGATCCTTGAGAAGCACAGAGCTGCAGAAGCAATTGTGCTGCTCTTAAAGAATAAGCTGTCGCTTCCTTTATTAGGTAGACATCCCCAGAGAGTCGTTCTGAAGCTCCGAAATGCCGTTTTCTCTGCCATTGGACACTCTCTGGTACTTTGGGGAACAATTTCTATTTTCTGCTGTCAAGCAGTTTGACTGCATTGATTTTTTGTATTGCTTTGGCAACAGGTCACAGGCGGGGCTGAGGTCTTTTTTCCCAGGTGCCTACACACAGCATATGTGTGTAATCTTACCTTCCCCGTACGGGAATTTAAACAGAGTGAGGGTTTGTGGTAGTGTTTTAAAGCTGCAGACCAGGTCTTAACCTGTAGGATTGCAATTAAGGTTATTGGATTGTGTGCTGAAAAAGACCTGGAAACCAGTTTGTCCCAGTGGCTGCCCACTCTGTGTGTCTGTCTCTGGTTGTTTTGTTGTGATAGGTGAATTGGGTGTGAATTAGATACCAGGAGCAAAAGCTTCCCAGTGAATTCCAGCATAAGCCCTGACTATGCAGTCAGCTGAAGGCCTGTCCAACAGGAGATGTGAATCATGTCTCTGTTTTCTTCCCTCTGCAGCATGGACAAGGATAGCCAGGATGTTCACCAGGTGCTGAACGAGCTCAAGAACAAGTTCCAGGAGATGAGGAAGCTGATCAGTGCCATGCCTGGCATCAGTGTGAGCCCAGAGCAGCAGCAGCAGCAGCTGCAGAACCTGCGGGAGCAGGTCAGGACCAAGAATGAACTGCTGCAGAAGTACAAGAGCCTTTGCATGTTCGAAATCCCTAAGGAATAGGAAGGGAGCAGCTCTGCTGTCTGAGTCCTGGCTGGAAAGGAGAGAAAAAGCTGGCAGAGGCTTACTTTGTGTTTTTTTGTCACGTTACTGTGAAGTTGTGGCTGTGTGGGTCACAGGCATGTGACACTGAGCCAGAACCCTTCGTGTGTCCTTCGCATGCCATAGTCACAGCAGTGCCTTCGCTTTGATCTGCTGTAGGACTGTGTGCACTTGTATATGCAGCTCTTTTCCCTTGGGGTTGGCTGTATTTTTTTCATTCGAGCAAGCAGAGCACATTATGTTTTCTCTAAAGAAAAGATCGAAGTACCTGCTGGTTAAGTTCAACAGAAAAAAAAAAAGGAGATATTTTCCACATTTTTTTCTTTTTCGCTTCTGAAACGGCAAACACTGAAAGGGAACGTGCAGGGGAAGCACGAGTTGTCTGGCCTGGAAAGCCTGTTTGCTGGGAAGGCTCTCTGGGGTGCTTTGCAGTCAGTGTGTCGGAAGAGGAATGGTTGCTTTCTGTTGGTTTTGTGTTTTTTTAAACAGCCGGTAGTTGTGCTTGAAATGAGCCGAGTAAAGGTTAGAAACTCCAAACTGTCCCTCTTTGTATTCATGAGTGCACGTGGGATGAGCAGGGCTGAGGTGTGGTGCACAGCCTGGGTGCTGCTCCTGTCTCTTAGCATTGCTTTTTGGTGATGGCAGAGCAAAGCAGAGCCTGCCAGGGGAGCGGGTTTCAGTGGGCTTTGGATGCGTGGGGCTTCCACGCCAAATTGGTGAGCGACACACGGGGCATCCTGCTCTTACAACAGGAAAAGGAGAAGCAGGATTAAAACAAAAGGCATAAATGACAGCAGCTTTAGTTATTCCCTAAGTGACACAAGTCAGGGTGGATCAGTTCTGTGTCTGAAATGCTCCAGGGGCTTCCCACAAGCACAAGCACTGAGTATTGAACATTCGTCAGACGCTCATGGAAAGCTCTCGAATGTCGTATTGCATTCGGATGGGTCTCAGAACTCCTTGTTCTCTGTCCTCCTGCTGGGAGCTGCCCGGGTGTCAGATGACAACCTGGTGAGCATCTCACCCACTAGCAGGTATGTGACAAGGATCTCGCAGTTCTCTGAGGTAACGCTGAAAGGTGGAGCAGCTCAGGAGTGGAAGAGGTGAAAAAAACGGAGTGGTGAAATACAGCGTCGGTTGAGAGCCTGCATCTGAGAGCAGGGAGCATTCAAACAATGAGAACGGGGTCTGTTTGGGTAGGATTTGGCTTCCTAAAGTCAAGAGGCAGGTAATTATGCTCTTTGGGAGCTGGGGTGGTTCAGTTCACCTGTAGCTCAGAGATCACAGAGTGCTTGGCTACTGATTTCTTTGGGAAGGTGCCCGCGTGTAAACTCTGAGCAAAGCAGAACACCAAGGTAAACAGAGCACGATGTACAATTTTTTATTACTAAAATTACCTTTCTGCCAGACCTTCCCTGTTCCAGCTCAATAAATTCTTGTGTTTCATGCCTGGACGGAGGTTTCTCCTTTTGGCCAGCTGCTCTTCCAGTCAAACCAGGCCGTGTGAAGAGCTGGAAGGAGCAAAGTGTTTCCAAAGAAATGCCTGGCACTTAGCACAGCAACAAGTGAACTTGAATCCAAGTTTCAGACCAAACTGAAGTGGTTTTGTTTGCAGTCTCACTCGCCCACTCCTTATGGCTTCAGTAGAACTTTTCCCCATTAACACATATTAAATGTAGGTCTGTTGTGCAACTGAAGGGTGGAAGGGGGCTGCTGAGTGCGATCGGAACCAGCAGGCTGCTTTGGAGAATCCGGAGCCAGTGAGAGCTGCTGTTTGCAGAGCTTTCACTTTTTCCTTTCACTTCCAGCAGTGATTACTGGCAGCCAGAGATCAAAACCCATCAAACGCAAAGGTGACCTTTCGAGCAAAGCATTTCCTTTACTCATGTTGCAAAATAAAAACAATATCCTGGACGGGGCGCAAATGAATCACTCTCTGTTGACATCATTAAAGAGTGTTTATTCAATCGGGGGAAGGCATGAAGCACAACGAGCTCTTTGTCATTCAATGATGTCATTTCACTTGGTTTCTGCTGCGAACGACATGGCAATGCCTGGCGCAGGTCAGCGCTGCCCAGCGGAGTGAGGAAAGAGCTTTGGCTCAGCGGCCTGCTTGAGTAACAGCACGCACGGCCCCGCCGCCCCCTGCGGCCGCTTCCCTTTGCGCTGGGAGTCAGAGAAAGTGGGGTAATAAAGGCACTGAGCTGAGTGCTGATCCAGCCTTACAGCTGGGATCCGGCCTGGGTTTGACGGGATTTGGTTTCGCTGCAGGGATCGGGGAAGAAGCGAAGGCAAAAAAAGCCGCAAGGCGTCATTTGGAAAAAGGTTTTTATTATTTTGTAGAAAAAATAAAACATCAAGTTTCAGCCACGGTAGAAACACTTGAAGGTTTTTGTTCATGTCAGTGACAACCAATACCTACATAAAGTGCCTATTGTTTTCTCATTTAAAAAACCCTTCCCGCTCCCCCCGCCCCCCAAATCTTGCAAATCAGACAAGACAAATGTAAACAAGAGTCAGTTTTTGGTCCATTGGGGCTGTAACTCTGCAGAGTCTTTGCAACAGCTTAGAAGTGTCTTCTGCACGTGTTTGGCGAACACAGACAAACACACGACACAGAGCCAGAGTCCGTGCACAGCTTCTCAAGTAAAAACAAACAGAAGGAAACAAAAAGAAACCCATAAGCCCCAGGTGGATTCTCACAGGTCTCTGCCCTCCTGACAGCAATGCCCCGGCCCAGGGCTGGGCAGTTTGGGAGTGTTCGTACCCCCAGCTCACCGTCTGCACTTTGCCATTATCATCTCCCTGATTCCCTCCTGCCTCCAAGTCCTCCCCCTCACCCAACACGTGCCCCGGGGGGGGGGGGGAGAAACCAATGGGAGGAGGGAGGCCGGGGAAGAGGCAAATCTGTGCCCAGCTGGGTGCGTGCCCGCCCTCCTGCCTGCCCAAAGTCCCGTTGGAAACGAGCATCCTGCCCCCTTCCCTTCCCTTCCTTCCTTCCTTCTTTCCTTCCTCCCTTCTTCCCTCCTCGTGCTGGGGCTCCTAGCTGATCACACAGCGGTCCTTCTCCTTGCTGTGCCCTCCGCCGATGGCTTTCTCACGGATGTACATGAGGTCGCTGTGGACGCTGGGCCGGCGGGCGAAGGGAGCCACGACGCCGTACGCCTCCTCCGTGCTGCCCCGGCCGCCCTCCTTCAGCAGCTTTTTGCCTTTCAGAGCTTTCTTGTGCAGGATGTCGCAGTACTGCACTGAGACCTTGCGGTGCAGGTCGGGGCTCATCTCGCTGGGCAGTTTGGCCATGGCGAAGAGCGCCTGGAACATCTGATCCAGGCTGCTGTTCTTCTTGGCCGAGATCTCGAAGTAGGCACATTTCTTGGGGTCTGCGCCCACCAACTGCTCGATCTCTCGGGGCTGCACCTCCCGGTAAAAGTCCCGGTCGCCTTTGTTGCCGCAGATGACCAGGGGCACCTCGATGTTCTCCTTGGTTTTGTTCTTCAGGCACGACTTGGTCTCCAGGATCTGCTGCTTCAGGCGCTGCACCTCCTCGAAGGAGTCCCGGTTGTCCAGGCTGAACACGAGGATGAAAACATCACCTGGGGACAAAGCGGGGACGTGAGATGGGGATGCACACGCCGACCCATAGATAAACAGGGGAGGGGAGAACCAGGCAACAAAGTCACCCACCCAACACACGCACAAAATCCCACCCAGAGACAGGCAGAAAACCGTCTCTGAAGTGACCAAGAAAACCCAAACTCCAACAGGAGAACCCCCATTTCCTCCTGGAGCTCCCCATCCGCGTACCTGTGAGGATGGACAGGCGCCGCATGGCGGGGAAGGGGTGGTTGCCTGATGTGTCCAGGATGTCGAGCTGGTAGACCTCACCGCGGATGCTGTAGAACTTGCGGTGGAAGTCCTCGATGGTGGGAGTGTACTGCTCCTCAAAGCGCCCGGTGAGGAAGCGCGACACGATGGCCGTCTTGCCCACCTTGGAGGAGCCCAGGATGACCATTCGGTAGCAGTTCTTGGCGGGGATGCTCAGCTCGGCCTCGCTGGGACACATCTTCTTGATCATCGCTGCCAGTTTCATTGAAGCCGGCCGAAGTGCAGCTTGCGCCGAGAGGACGAGGAGGAGGAAGGCGTGGTGTGCCCGGCTGCTCGGCCCCTCTCTCTCCCAGGCTGGAAGGCCGCTCTGAGCTCCGCACGCCCGCGGTCTCGCCTTATATGCAGGATGCAGCGCCCGCCCCTCGGCGCGTCACGGCCCGGGGCTGAGTCAGTGCCGCCCCGCTCCGCCCCGCACACGGCGCGGTTCCGTCCCGCGGGCGGTGCGGCTGTGGGTGCGGGTCGCGGCGATCCGCCCGTCCCAAACGGGGAGCGGAGGATCCGGGACGCGGAGCAGAGACCTCGGGGAGCCGCAGCCCGGCTTCGTTTCGCGCTTACGGTGCCGTGCGTGGGATAAGCGGCAGAAAAGGCGCTTTTGGGGGAGTTCGGGGCACGGCGCAGGAGTGGGAGCCGAAAGTCGGGGCGCCGCCAGGTGCTGCGGCCCTGAAAGGGGGACGCTGTGCTTTCTGCTGAGATCCCGGCCCGAGCTCTGCTACCCCAGGCTGATACAAGCTCGTCCTCGGCTCCTTCCCCAGCCCTATCCCGAGCCCGGTCTCGGCTCGACCCTATCCCACTCTCAGTCCATCCCGATCTTATCCCGACCCTATTCCCATCCCCGCTCCAACCTGTCCCTCTCCCCATCCCGACCCCATCCCAGCCCCTGCTCGCACCCCACCGCCTGCAGCCCCTCCCGCCCCCGCTAGAGCGCGGCCGAGGGCCCCACCGCGGCTCGGTCTGAACCCCCCCCACCCCTCCGAGAGGACACGGCCGCAGCCCGGACCCGCAGCCCCCGGGGCAGCGAAGGATGATGCTCGCGGGGACGCAGAGATGCTCCTGCCGGCTGGCTGACATAGCTGCGATTGAGAAACTTTGGATGAACGGCACCTCTGAGGATGTTCAAACAAACAAACACAGCGACTTTGCAAAAGTCGATGCTTAAACGTGGTTCCGAAAAGCAGAAGCCCCACCTGAAACATTGCAGGGGTCTCAGGGACGGGTGGAAGCTGGAATTTGCGGAGCACGGGGCATTTCAGCAGCGCTGCTGAGGAAATGGATGCTGCTGAGCTGACCGTCTCCTCTGGGGGTGTTCTCACACTTGGAAGTTAATTTAAGCACTCTCCAATGGTTTATGGAGGAGCTGCAGCTGAGAGGCAGCAGCCGAAGAGCCGCAGCTCTGGCAGAGGCTGTGGGACACGGTGTATGGGGCTGAGCCCGTATTGATCCGAGTGCGAGACAGAGAGCAGCGCCAAGGGCCCGTTATAAAACACAAATGTATCAACCCAAAGTAACGAAAAGATCATTTAATTGTAGCAGCTGACGGAAAGCAGCAGGAGGAATCAGAAGTGCCTACCTCTGGGGGACAGACACATCAAATACCTTGATTAGATCTTGCTGGTAACCGTACCCCTATTAATAGTGCCAGGAATGGGTAAAAA